ATCTTACATTTGTTCAATGTTTATTTCCTTGTACCACTTTTGAAGAATCTTTCAAGTAGACTCTATTAGCAAGTCCTCCACGCTAAAGTGATCATATGGTTTTCCAGCAGTCTTCAATTTTAAAAAAACAGCATACACACAACAAAAAAAAACCAGCCACAGAAATTCCCACTGAATTTTCACAGCTTTATTCTACACTGCTTTTTTCTTTTCTCCAGCACAGAGGTTGTATCACATCCAGATCACTATGCTTTTCATGGGATTTTCTCCTCAGAGACTGGGCAGCTCAAATATCACAACAGCTTTCAAGTTGTGCTCCTCAGAGTCCTGATTTCCATGGAAGCGTGGCCAACAATTACAGTGCTACTTTTAGCTAGTTTACATACTGGGGTCCTGCCACTAAAACAGGATGGAAATACAATAATCCACCAGACATGTGATCATAGCATCTGTCATGTCTACAAGAAAAACTGTTCCACATATAAACTTGGTGATGGCAAGCACTGTTTTCTACCACTTAAAATTATCTAGTTTCACCCACAGTAATATGATCTTGAGACATTTTTAAACCAAAACTCTCAATCTCTAGGCTGAATTATGATCTGTTGTGGCCCAGACACTAATGATAAGATAGCCAATCAAGATGTCTGCTTGGGAGGTCAGTGCAGGGAAAGACGTATGCATACACATGCATAAATAAGCATGAGACAATTTGAATGTGTAATGAAAATTAAAGGATGCATGAGGACACTGAAATATATACTGGAAGGAATAACACACCATAGAAAATGAAAATCGAAAGAAAATAAAACTTTAGAGATATGAGAAACTATGGAGTAAAAGAAATATAGTTTTATAATTATGCTAGCCAAAAACAAGAAGGAAAAACAGAAAAGCAATTAAAGAACAGATAAATTTTGTTCATTTTCTATGGCATCATCCTTTTTGAACTTAGGACAATTCTGCAATGGGTATCAATGAGTGTCACATATATATACATACATATATATATATATATATATATATATATGTATTTCATAAGAAAACAAGGGGAAAGAATTTAAAGCAATTTAATTGCAAAAGCACCGCTTGTGTATTATTTATGGTCACAGTATGTTTTACTCTTCTATAAGGTACAAATTCATCCCAACAAAACAGTCAAAAATATAATCAATCCATCCTTTCAAGAATTTATTGAGTAGTACAGAGGAATGCCAAAAGTAGAACTCAAACTCTGCCTTCTGCAGGAGCTTGGGCATCTTTCTAGGTGTTATAACCTTCTGCTGTATCACTCTGAATGGCTGACTTTACTAGTGCTCTTGATCCCTTCCTCCATACACACTTAATTCCCAGCCCTTATATAGACTCATATCCAGATCTGACCAATAAAACTTGAACAGAAGTAACTGTGCCATTTCTAAGCTGAGGCACTCCAAAAGCCTGTGCATTCTCTAGTCTCATTAAGCTCTGCCAACTATAGAGGACTTACACGGAAATGGCAAAACCATAAAATCAAAGTTAGCTAAATTGCTGAGTTATCACATACAGCACAACTGTCCTGGAAGACAGCCCATTTAGATGCACTATTAATTGTACTTTCGAAGTCATTAGGTTACATAAGCCAAACTCAGAAAGATATGTACTTCATGTTTCCTCTGCCTGTGAAAGTAAAAAATGTTCATTTCAAAGTGTAGAATAATGACTACTAGAGGATAGAATGGGAAGTGGGAGAAGATAAATGGATGGAGGTTGTATAATTAAGACCTGCACTTTAATACCTTTCCATTTTTTGTTTTTTTATAAATCATCTGTGTAATTTATGACTTCCCTCTGCTCTCCAATTTATACTCAGGCAGGGATGTCTATTTTGCTCACAACTGTCCAGCTATTACTGGACAGCTGAATAAATACTGATTGTTTACATGAAGTCTCTCAATGCCAAGTTACATGCTCATCTCCACATCAAATATGGCTTTACGCCTGTTTCATAGAAGGAGCTCTGAAACTGGAGAGGTTAAGTGACTTGCTTACAGGTAAAAAAAGTGACTTACAGGTAAAATCATACAGGTAAAAAAAGTGGAAGGATTGTAATGCAAACCTTGGTCTCTTTCCAATATAGTACAATGAATTAAAAAAAAATCACAGCACAGAATAAAAAGGAAATAATTCTCTGCACTTACGGCAAAGACAATTATTCAACAACTGAGATACTCAAAACTAATAACAGCCTACAGAATGATTATTTTTCTGACCTTATACATTTTATGATAGAAAGAATGTCCTACAGACAGGCAAGAAACTATTTTAGATCTTCACACTGCTTTGTTCAGTAAGTAGCAGTTAATCCTTAACTGTCTAATCCTTTCTACCATCCTGTACTGCAACATAAAGAATCAACTAAACTAACACTGTCCATTCATTAGCAAATGATTATTCAGTATATGCTGTATGTTGCACGTAATGATCAGCACTGGGCATACAGGAAGGAAAAGACCAGTCTTTTCTCATATATATTATTCTGTGTTCATCTCAGGACACCTACACTGCTCCTACTGTGTTCCTTGCATATATTTTCAGTTTCTACCAAAACAATACGATTGTTCTTTGAATTATTTGTGGACTCAAAACAGATGTTATTTCTAGCCACTTATTTATTGTAACTCAATCAAATTACATCAAAACAATTTGGAAGTTCATGGAGCTCAATATAATACTGTTTTATAAGTAAAATATTCTTCGTGTCACCTCATATCAATTAAAGGAATGATGACTTTGGCCCATTCTTCCATTGGCACAAATAACTGATGCTGGTTCACTCTCACACATATTTGCAAGTAGGAGCCAACAGGAAAATCTACCAAAATGAGAATGAAAAGCAAAATCTGGAAGCAAAAAGTATGGGTTCTGAACACTGCTCAGACTTTATTAGCATCAATCAAGCTTTGGCTGTTAGGTAGCCAAATAAATTTAGAACTTGGACTGCCTGAATGTGTTCGATGTTGCTGAAAGAACATAGTTTTCATTAGCTATAGTTCAGAATTTGGCTGTCCCCATACGCCATGATACCAAGTCACCCAACAGAATCTGAAGGAAAAGGCTCTATTCTTCCAGGTGGCACAGCAACGAAGACAGAAATGCAATGCCAATAAACATTTTTTTGTAAGATTATAAATAAAGTTAAAGCAAAAGGAAGAAAAGGTAAGGGACACACCAAGAATATTATCACCCTATCCATAACTTACATATATACAAAATGTAACAACCAGAAATATCCTGGATCTTTATAGGAATTATATAGACGGTATTAAATAAGTTATACAGGGAGAAAAATAATTTGCTTCAATTTTCTTTTCATCTTTATGTTAAGAAAGTTTCAATGTGTTGACAATAAGGTTTTCACACCTGTCAATCATTTTCTAACTTCCCCTGTAACAAAGAGCAGGCCTAGTTTTGCTGGGCCTTGTGATCAACAGCGACTACCTTAATCATATGGCTTAGGCTGTTGGTTCTCAAAACTTTAAATCCTTTTATAGTCAAAATTACTCACGGCTTCTAAAAAATTTATATTTGTGTAAATTAAATACATTGATATTAAAAGCCAAACCTAAGAAAAACTCTTAAATGCCTATTGATTACAAATAATTCATTATAGTAATTTTATTTAAAAACTATGTTCAAAAACCAAAAACGGTGAAAAGAATGGCACTTAAGCCTTTTTTTTTTTTTTTTTTTTCAAATCTCTTTAGTATCTGGCCTAAAATGATAGGTGTAGAGAGAAAATAAAAATAGAAAAGAGGCAGAATTTCATATTTGCTTCCACATTGAATCATTTGCAATGTGTTATTTGGTTGAAGGACATAAAATAGTCCAGCTTTGTAGGGCGAGCACTTGAAAAGGGGAAGAGTATTTTAGTAGCCTTTTAGATATCAGTGGCTATTCTTCTTTTGATACTACACCAAAACTTGACAAGAGGTACTTTCTTAATGTTAGGTACAATGCAGAATCTGAAATGATAATCAGTGACTGTTTTGCACTCTATAAACGTATACAAGGGTGTAGTACTCGGAAAATAGTTTTAATACTGTAGCTCACCAGAATAGGTCTCAAAACAGACTCCGCAAGGTTCCCTGGATCACATGCCCAGAAACAGTGACTTTCACTGCACTTCTTTCATCAGCATTTAAACCAAGTGATGTTAGTTTTCCATTTACAAAAACAAGGACTTGTTTTTTAAAATAAAACTTTTGGTTGAAACCATTAACTTATGTATATATAGATATATATATACATAATGGTAAAGTTTAGATAATTAATGTACAGTTTGGAAAACAATACATAAACAAGTATCATCCTATCCCTACTCTCATTTCATAGAGGCGGGAACTGCTGGACAGCTTTCCCTCAGCTCTGATTGGTGAAGCCCTGGCTTTGTAAATCAGCTCTTCCGATAGGTGGTCCCCAACTAAGTAAATACAACCTACCTACTACAGCGCAGATTAAAGGCAATACTAACAGGAAGAAAAAAAAAAAAAAAAACTTTTCTTCTAAATTTTATAAAAATAAAGCCCCCTTTTCCAGGACTACTGACGAAGTACTGGACAAAGCAGGCTAAGGCTTTCCAGTCAATCTCCTTCTCTTAAAGCATCTGCACTTTGGCAGGCACAGTGTTGAAAAGTTCATTACAGGAAAACACGTTGAGCAGTAAGGGGAAAACATCACAAGGCAGAGTGGTGGAAATTGAAGGGAATACGAGATTCCTTCATCCCAGTGTCCTTGGAGGCTGAAGTGGGCTTCAGCGCGCTGGAGATTGGGCGGTGGGGTGTTAATTTAGAAATGAAGCGCTGCAACCTCTCGGCGGTTTAACCCTCTCTCCCAAGGCGGCGCAGGCTACTAGGGCAGTTACCCCGCATTCGCAGGCAGGCGCCCGACGCTGCGGGCCGGAGGGAGCCGGGCGGGTCACAGAAACGGGGCGGCCCTGTGCCATCGAGGCTTCGCCTCACCTGACCGTCCTGACCACGAAGTACACCAGCACCGCGCCGCTCACCACCATCAACACGGTCAGGGCCCGCTGGGTCATGGGCTTGTCGCCGGGGTTGGGGCTCACGGCCAGGCCGCCCCCCTCGGAGGCTTCCCCGGCCTTCCCGCCAGGACCGTCCGCCGCGAGCCCCGCCCCGGGGCTGCTGCCATTGCCGCCCTCCGGGCCGCCAAGTCCGGCGCCTTC